AGCAAAGAAGTGGGCACCAGAGCGCTCCACAGGCCGCGAAGGCATCAGGCGGCCCAGAAACACTCCCCGGAGCGCGCACCTTGGCTTAGCTGGAGCAAGGCACACACCCCACAACAGGGGTGGGCGGGGCCGGGCTGCCAGCCTGCTCTCCCCTGCCTCACGCCCTGTCCCCCTCACCGCCTGCCCCCCTCAGGAGTACTCTCCCAGTTACAAGAGGCGCCGCACTGTGGAGGACTTCAACAAGTTCTGCACCTTCGTTTTGGCCTATGCTGGCTACATCCCGTACCCCAAGGAGGTAATGCCCCCTTCCTGAGCCTCGGGGTGCGGGTCTGGAAAAGGGTGGTCTGTGGCGCCGCAGGCAGCTGGCTCCGTGGCTTCTGGAGCGGGGAACTGTTGGAAGGGCCGTCGTAGACTCCTGGGCTTCCTGTCCTTGAGCTCTGCCTGCTCTAAGGGGGCTGCTGCCGGGCACTGCCCTTGGCCTCTGTCAGGGAGGTGCTGATCCGGGTCTATGTTTTGCAGATAAAGATGTGGCTGGGCAGGCTCCCGCCTGGGCCCAGCTACAGTAGTGGCAGCCCTTGGGGTACACCCGGATGGCCCGGTGCTTCCGCAGCGACCTCCCTGGGCGTCGCCTCCTGCTCGCTGGGGTGCAGTGTCCCAGGACCAGTGCCGGGCTTCAGCCCGGGTCCCCCGTGGCTTGTGGGGGTGTATACTCCTCAGTCCAGCGGGCAGGACGGAGGCAGGAGGCTGAAAGGGCGGGGCGGGGTATTGCTCAGGCTGCACCCCTCCTCCAGGAGCAGCCCACTTGGGCCTGGAGTGCGGCGTGCAGTCGTGGCCGCGGGACCTTCCTCCTTGCAGGGGTTTTTCAGTATTGTGGGAAGTTTCCATTTTCTCGAAAAGTGTCAGGAAATGCTCACAGTTGACTTAACGCTCCTTGAGTTAAAAAAAATTTGCACCTTTAGGGAGGACCAATGACACAGGGACTTGACATGTGGGAGACGTGAGGGTGGGTCCCCTCGTCACAGGTGCTTAAGGAGCCCGACTGCGGTCGCGGCTGTGGGGCCCTGAGGACAGCGACACGGAAGGGCACAGGCCAGCTCGGCGGGGCTCAGCACCTCCCCTCTCCCCAGGAGCCGCCTCTGAGGAGCAGCCCCAGCCCTGCCAACAGCACCGCCGGGACCGTTGACAGCGACGGCTGGGAGGCCGGCTTCCCGGACATGCCCGCCGCGGTGCCCCTGCCCGTCTCTGACCGCTGCTTCGGCCACCTGCAGCCCAGCCTCCTGCCGCGAGCCAAGCCCAGCAACTTCCTGCTGGACAGAAAGAAGACTGACAAGCTGAAGAAGAAGAAGAAGAGGAAGCGAAGGGACAGCGAAGGGCAGGAGGGGTACATGGGCAGTCTGCTGAAGCTGGAAGCTGCTGATCCTTACGTGGAGACCCCCACGAGTCCCCCGCTGCAGGGTCTCCCCCAGACCCCGGGCGACCCCTGCTCCGGCTGGGACTCCGACACTCCCTCCAGCGGCTCCTGTGCCACCGCGTCACCCGATCAGGTCAAAGAGATCAAAACTGAAGGCAAACGGACTATCGTCCGGCAGGGGAAGCAGGTGGTGTTCCGGGACGAGGACAGCACTGGCAACGACGAGGACATCATGGTGGACTCAGGTGGGCGCTCGGGGCGGGCCGGCATGGTGTTGCCGGTGTGCGAGCGAAACGGCCCAGATGGTGGGTGGGGCATCTAGGAGGGGCAGGCGGCCAGGGGGAGCCGGACCCTGGGAGGTTGGGGCGCGCAGCTGTGACGTGTCAGGTGACCTCCGTGGGCTCCTGGTGCTCAGGAGGCGGGCTCCGTGTGGGGGTCAGGCCTCACCTCAGCGCAGCTGTGGATCCCACGGACTGGGGGCTGTCCTGGCGGAGAGGGGACCCTGGGATGGGGCAGGGTCCCCAAGCGGGGGGCCCGGAGAAGCCTTTCCCTGCTCTTAATGTTTTTCTCCTGGCAGATGATGACTCTTGGGACCTCGTGACCTGCTTCTGCATGAAGCCGTTCGCCGGCCGCCCCATGATCGAGTGCAACGAGTGCCACACCTGGATCCACCTGTCCTGCGCGAAGATCCGGAAATCCAACGTGCCGGAAGTGTTCGTCTGTCAGAAGTGCCGGGACTCCAAGTTCGATATCCGCCGTTCTAACCGGTCCCGAATGGGCTCCCGGAAGCTGTTTCTGGACTGACAGCTGGCGAGCGAGGTGTCGGGAGGGACCCGTGTGCTTCGGCCCCTCCGAGTTGAGCACAGAACTCCCCGCGCGGTGCGGGCAGACCCTGCCGTTCAGGTGCCTAAGCAAAAGGACAGGCCGTCCGAGCCGAAACTGTACATAGCCAGTGACTGAATAAAGTCTCCGTGGGCCAGAGCTGCTGCTGGAGCTGTTCTCCGCAGTGGGCGCCCAGAGCTGGGCCTTCCCCTAGCAGCGGGGTAGGCGCGCCCTGAGTGCCTGCCCGGCTGGCCCAGGGGAAGCGGCAGCTCTGCCTCGGCCGCCTCGTTCTGCCTCTTTCCGGCGCTAGGAGCGGCCGGGAGCGCGCTGCGCCTGTGGGCCTCTGCCTCTGCCGCAAGTGTCTGTACAGCAGCATTCCAGCTGCCCCTGGCGGGCCACCCTCTTCCCGCCTCCTCGGGGTCCCTACCGGGGTCCTCAGGTCTCACCCGAGCAGGCGCCCTGGGCAGCACCTTGGCCAGTGATCCCCAGTTTTCCTCTGTCTGTTAAAAGGGACAGGATGTGGCCGCTTCTCTGGAAGGGGGTCGAGGTGTGCTGTGTTCATAACTGTTTTCCTGTTTTGCACGATGTAAAAACCTGTCTTTTTGCACGAAATAGCCAAAAGTATTGGCAGATCTCTGCCTGGGTGCCCTCTGGCTGGTGTAGCTGCGCCTGGGCAAGCGAGGGCCGTTTGGGTCTTCTCCTGCCCTGTCCAGGGGCAGGGCGAGGCTAGGTGGGCTCTGGCGTGTCTTCCTCTCTCAGTGGGCAGGCCGCTCTGATTCTTGCTCCCCGGTGCCCATTCAGGCTGGCCTGCTGGTCCCTCGGGGGAGGCTGGCGGCAAGGCCCCTCTGGTTGGAGCTGGTGAGGGGCGCACGCCCCACTGGCCGCTGGGAACATGGCCTTGAGCTGTGCAGAGTTCTCCAGAGCGCAAGTCTGATGCCACCCGTGTCCTGCAGCCCCGCCTGGAGAAGCCCCTGCCGGCTCCACCCCGCCAGCAGGCCCTGGGCTCGGTGGCCCTGGGGTGTCGGCAGAGGGCCTTGTGCTGCTTCAAGGTCGCCGTGGCGCGCCACAGTTCAGATACTGTTCTCAGCGTTGTTTCTCACTGGGTGCCGGGTGGCGGTTTCCATGAGTGTTTTTCCTTGTGGAGCGCAGCGTGGGCGGCTGCTGGGCTGGACCCCTCCCTGGGTGGGCTCCATCCACGTTGTCCTTGCCGAGCCCTACGGGGGTCTTGAGCTGTGTGGTTTGAGGAGTCAGAGGCCAAGTTTGTCTAGTGTCTTTCATGCTTGACCAGCCAACTACCTTTCTTTTTTTTTTCCAACTTTGTTGATTCTGTTGCTAATATTAACACAAAAATAGAAGTAGTTTCTGAAACCTAGTTTATTGTGAAGATCCCCAGGGGAGAAGCTGCTGTGGAGGCAAATGGGGAGAAGCTGGCTGAGAAACCACCTTCTCCCCAGACCAGAGCCTGGTCTGAGCAGGGCGAACAGCCAGGAAAAGTTGGGAGGATTTGCCAAAGATTTGCCCCTTGACATGGCCTGTCCAGTGTCTTCAACATGAGAATAGCCAAAGTTCCAAAGTGTTTTATTTTTTTTTAAACTCTTGACAAGGTTTTAAAAGTGTTCGAGAAGATGCGTGATTTTAGTGCGGCGCCGCCAGCCCGCCCGTGGCCTGTCTTGGGCCCTGAAGCCTGGTGACACCTCTGGAAGCTTCCGTGTTCATCTCCATTTCTGTTTTCCTTTTTGTTCTTTTAACAGATCTACCCTGTGGGTGGTGTCTCCGTCAGGACACCTTGGTTTTGTTAGAGTGAGCTGGGCAGCTGCAGTCAGCTTCCTTTTCCACAGTAGGCTGGCCTCGGCCCGTCCGGGGGCCCCTGGTGGGTGACAGTGAAGCCAGGGGAGGAGAGCTGTCGGCCACCCCAGTCAGTGCCAGCCCTGCCCTTTGGCTTTGGCCAGGCCCGACACTTAACACCGTTTACATGGTTCTGTGTAATTATAACGTTTATGTGTATAAAGCGAAGCTGTTTCTGTGAAACTGTATATTTTGTAAATAAATATATTGCTACTTTGAGGTTCTTGTCCAGCTTGGATGCTTGTGCTGTGCCGAAGGACAGTTGTCCCTTCGTCACCTCCGCGGACTGTGAACGCGTGAGAGCCTGAAGTCAGTGTGGTTTAGCGGGGCGGGAAGTGCCTGCTGCCCTCAGCCGGCGGACCAGCCAGGTCTGGTCAGGCTGTGAGGAGCCTTCACACACAGTTCGTCAGCAGCTCCGTGTTTGACCTGCTTTGGAACAGCTGAGGTTCTGCGAGCCCAGAACTGGGTGTCTCGGTGCTCCTGCTGCCTCCTCACCCTGTCCATCAGTTGTGTCTGCCCAGCTCCAGCCAGGGACCGGAGTGGTCACCCAGTGATGCTTGTGCAGCCGGAACCTACCTAGGCCTCAAGAGTGTTGAAGCCACTGGCTGGAGGGGCCTTGGGCCTTCCTCGGTTACCGCTAGGCAAAGCCAAGTTCTCTGGCGTGAATCGGGGTTTCCCAGGCAGGGCGGCAGGGCGGCCGGCTTTCACCGAGCTGGGGTGAAAATTGAACCGGAGGTCCCGATTGCAGCGGGGTCTGAGTCAGACCCCGGGGCACCCCTGACGTGGCATCCTGGAGCCCGCCCCCCTCTGGGGACGCGGGTCGCCGTGACCGCGGGAGGAGCTGGCGGTG